TTTATGGCTGCCCATTCTTCACAAGACACAGAAAATAAATCTAATTTTGAATGGGTTTTACATAACTGTATTTTCTGCTGTGCTTCAGTATATGTGTAAGAGCCTTGTAAATAATTATTTTTAAAAAGTACTAACCTGCTGAGAAAGGAGGATTGAAGATGCACATTTCTGTTCTGATTGGAAGTCCTTAATGTAGCAGTCTACCGGTGACCAGTCACCAAGGAATACTGTCTCACCTCCACTGTTTGTTTTCATTTAAAAAGGAAATAAAATATTTTGAAAATATAAAAATATGTAGATTTGTCTTCTCCATGGTCTCTTTGATTCATACAATGGAACACGCTCAGCATTGTTGGCCAATGTCTGACTGTTAAAATTGTACGTAGTATCTATTTTATAAGCTGAGAATGGTATTTGCATGTGGATGGATGCACCTACGAGCCACTGGAACTTACTATATTCTCTTCTGAACTACCCTTTTTCCTATTAAAAATACACAAGGAAAATGTGAGGAAAATTATGTTGCGATGAGCAAAGAAATGACTGGAGCACAACTTACATTTCGATTCTAGGAAAAGTGTTTTGTTGACCATGGTATATCTTAAGGCAAGAGTGGGGGATGTCTTCCATCTAGCTAGCTGCCTTGCTTACATAATGCTGTCACTTTCAGAGTAGAAGCTAGCATCCATTTGTGACGTAGTTAAGGGCACAGAGATTGGTTTTTACAGTGAGATGGAGTGCATAAGCTGAATTCTTGTCTTTATTAAGTTTTTTTAAATTAAACTTTTCCTCCCTTGCATTTACTTGCCCCCACAGTCCCGGGAAATCCTGTCATTGTTCAAAGCTGTGGTGACTGCAGGACAGGAGGGGGAAGTCTTTGATTACCAAAAATTGTGGCCACCAGGATGACTTTACCAGTGACAATGATTATTGGTAATTAATGATTTCCCCCTCCCATCTTAAGCTCCCATGGGTTTCCAACAGTGAAAGGTATTCTTTGGAACAAGTGAGGGGCAGGTTATATGGGAGGAGGAAATGCTTAATTCTGGTTGGGGGTGGGAAAGAATTGCCTTGACGGAAGACATCATCAGCTTTATGCTGCAGAATTTACAAAAACAGGATTTCAGCCAACAGATTTTAATTTTAAAGCTCTGAGTTTGCTTCCAATGAGTGAAAGGCTGGAGTAGAGTGTGTTTTAGAAGTGACACTTGGATTTTCTTTCTTAGTATTGCTATTGTTGAAGGTGTACTTCCTGTAGCAGTTCTAAAATGTCCCTTTCTTCCCCTTCAGACACAGCTTCCCCACACCACCCCTTCCTTTCTTTTGTGTCCCAGATGTTGCCTTACTCCTTTCCCTCTTTTTTCCCTTTGGAAAATAGAAAATGACAGACAAAATGCTAACTGCAAAGCCCGGCAGGAGTCCTCATGCTGATGATAATAGATTATCTGTAATCTGTGGTATAGACTTGAATCAGTTTGATAAAAGTAAAACAGGCAGTTTCATCATTGGGCAAATCCAAGTTATAAACTGGGAGGAGGGAGAGAGAGAGAGAATTTGCTACAAGGAATGTGCCTTCCCCACAACACCCTTTTTTGAAATCCAAATCCCAGAAATCTCCAAGAATATCCCAGGGAGTTCTTGGACTACATCTCCCAGAAATATTGGTAACTCGGCTAGCGGTGAAGGCTTTTGGGAGTTTTAGCTCAAGAATATCTGGGGAGCCAAGTTTAGGAACCATTGCTATAGAAGGTGCCTTCTGAAGAACCAACATCTCTGGGAATCATTGCAGCAGCTTTCTTGCAGGCCTCAGCCTTTCTCTGGGTGAGTGAAATGAAGGTGCCTGCTTGTGGGTGTAAACTCCCAGAATTCAACTTGAAGAATTTTTTAGAGAATTTTGGGATTTGGAGTCCATAAAACCCCCAAATGGCACGTCCCAGTTTAGTACTTCCTTCAAACTATTTTCAAAGTTTCTAGAGACAAGTAAAGTAAGTTAATTTTCTTTAAATATGTTATCATTCTGCTCCATAATGGTGACTCAGTTAATATTATACCTCAGTTATTTCTTGTTCTGGACAAAATGAATACATTATACTGAGGTTGATAAACAGATAAATGCTCCCCACATCTAATATAAGCCTTGTTAAAATAGTGCCAAAGGTCAAATGAGGACACTTGAAATCCTGGGAATGGAATCAAAGGTTATGAAAGAAGGATTTCGAGTGCCACTGTAGAGGTGGAGTGTTGGCTTTGGGTATTGGCTTAGTTTACCAAATTCCAATCACCTGCTCAGCCACGAAGTTTGCAAGAGGGCCCTGGGGCTACCGCACAACATACCTAATAGTATAGTCACTGAAAGGTTGCCTTTTGCTAAAGGAAAGGGAATACAGAGGGAGCTACTAGAGAATACCTTTCTAATTTACTTTAAATATATTATCATTCTGCTCCATAAAATCATATAAAATGTTTAAAGCTTCTGAGACTTTTAGATTACATTCTCTGTGGTGTCAAGAGAGATAGAAAAGTTGTAAAAAAAGGGATGTTATTGAGATATGATGTGAGCAACTAACATTTCAACTTGTGGGTTGAGTTTTTAAAATTAGAGTAGGAGAGAAGATGACGACTGAAGCTTACTGATGTCAGCTATATGAGTGTTGTCAAAATCACTCAGATCTGCAGTGACTTGTATGTTGTAGCTGATACAGGTCCTGTGGATGTAACTTTGCTTCCTGCTTGTCTTGGGTTAATGGATAGGTTTCTGATTTTGCAGCCTGAGAATGTGGACAAGGCCTTTGGAGAGGTGAAGCCTGCCACATGTATGTTGGAGCCTTGTCCTTCCTGGCCTATAAAGGCTGCTAGAGAGGAGCTGATTGAGTTGGTTTGAGGTGTGTTGAATGCCTCCCTGCAGCACAACAGGATCCCATCATGCTTAAAGGAGGAAATAGCAAGACTGTTCCTGAAAAAAAACCCTCCTTGAATCCCATGATATTGGAAAATTATTTGCCAGTCTCTTATGTTCCATTCCTGGCCAAGGTATTGGAGCATTTGGTGGCTTTTCAGCCACAGGGGTTCCTGGATGAGACAGATTATCAAGATCAATGGTTCCCAGCCTTGGGTCTCCAAGATATTTTTGGATTGAACTCCTAGAAGCCTTCCCACTATCCATGCTAGCCAAAATTTTGGGGAGTTGTAGCCCAAGAACATCTAGTGACCCAGGTTTGGGAAGCACTGACTGACATCAATTTCAGTCTGATTTCAGGCCTGGTTATTGGATGGAGACTGCTTTGGTCACCTTGCTGGACAACCTACTCCAAGAACTAGAGAGGAGGCGTGTGTCCTTTTTGGTTCTGCTGGACCTTTCAGCAGCTTTCAGTCCCATCATCCATGATATCCTTCTGGGCTGTCCCTCTGGGATCAGATTTGGACAGAATGCTTTACAGTGGCCTTCTTGGAGAGAAGGATTTAAAAGGTAGTGCTGGTGATTCCTGTTCTGTGCTCTCTTGTGGGGTCTCTTAAGATTCTATTTTGTCCCTCATGCTATTTAACATCTTTGTGAAACCACTGGCAGAAGTTGTCCACAATTTGGGGTTTTGGTTTCTCCAGTATATGGATAACACCCAACTCTATCTCTTCTTTCTGTCTAAATCCAAAGAAGCAGTTCCGATTCTAAATCAATGTCTGGTGTCAGTCATGGACTGTGAATGTGAATAAACTGAAACTTAATTCAGACAAGACAGATGTGCTCCCTCTGACTGGCTATACCTTTGCTGTCCTTATGCAAGTGAGCAAAGACCTTTCTCTTCAGGCAGACTTTCTCTTAATGCCTGGGAGTCAGTTCTCAAAATGAGACTGTTGTGTTTTTGTTGTTATATATATGAAGAGCAAGGCAGGATAGATATATTTGGATCAAATGAACGAACAAATAAAAAAGGAAACCCCCTCACATAATGTTTGAGACATCAGTTTGTACTAATGCAGAAATTCAGCAAGCTCCCTACTCTCAGGGAATACCAATTTCTTTGATTATGACATTGTTTCCTAACCCCGGGGGTCATGACCCCCCAAGGGGCAAAGTGTTTTCTAGGGGGGGAGGGACCACAGGTCACCTCATATGTGTTGTAGCCCTCATTCAATTATTTCTTCCTTGACTTTTTGGAGTTGGCTATTAAAGTTAGTATGTATCTGCGTATATGAGAAGCTTCTTCCCTTTGGGGAAGAAAGAAGCCTCTATTTTCTGAGAAAGGATGACTTTTCTCCATTAAAAATGCCTTTTAATGCAAATTTTGCAGGAGGGTCTCAGGTTGGTTGGCTATTATAAAAGGGGATCACAACTAGAAAAAGGTTTACCTTGTTTACCTTGCATGACTTGCCAAGATTCTATGGGAACCCAGCTCATCGTAAATTAGTAGCCTACTAATACACTGCCTACTCACACCTGTTAGTAGCAGTGGAGACCTTTGCTTCATGACTGCTTAATCATGACTTCTGCCAGCAGCCATTTTCCCATATCTAGCTTGTCTCCTGCCAAAATAAAATCCTAGATTATTCCTCTAGCTTGTTGGGAGGGAACTAGAGACAGGAAACTGCACACACCCAGAGTTCCATGGTTTGGTTAGACAGTGAGAACAGTTGTGCAGCATATGCCAGCACGCTGCTTGTTCCTTACTTCTTAAATTTCCTTATGATTGCTTAGGTTTGTAACCTGGGACAATGGTCACTTCTGTGATGGTTTCCACATAGCCTCTTAAAAATGGCTACTGCACAAATTTACTTGGTGATGATCAAACTCAGTTGGACGTCAATCTGAAAGGCAGTAATTGGTATTCTATTAGTCCTAATGGCATGCTCTTACAATACAGAGGTTTGATTTCCTTTGGGTAGTCTTGATGATGATGCTATTGGTTATTGGTCATGCACTAATTGATGGAGTTATGAGATGCATGTCCTTTTTCAGCTGATCTGGATGCAGTGTGTCTCACTTTTTGTGTTTGTTCTTTTTACAGAGTGCAGCTGCAGCGCCAAGTCCGGTACTTGGAAACATTCCTCCAAACGATGGAATGCCAGGGGGACCCATTCCTCCAGGTTTCTTTCAGGTAAGGGTTTAATCTCCTGGCTTTGGGTGCCGTTTGCTGCATGTGTGTGCATGAGTGGATGCTGAACAAGCTTTGCTGAAGCATCATAGTCTTGAAGACTTTTTTTAAAAAGAGAATAGCCAGGAGTATCTAGTTGTTTATAATTCCCTGTAACATTTCTGCTGGGTTTCCGCTACCCTTAGTTTTTGCTTAGTTTTGTGTGTGCAAGAGAGAGAGACTGAGATAGAAAGAGGGAGATTGCTTTAGACTAGAGACAGTATTTGTGTTTTTTTCTTTTATAGGAGTTCAAGGTTTTCTAAGGCTTTAAAAAAAATATATTTATTCATTGGTCACGACAGGCTTGTATGTAATTCAAAACGCCCAGGATTTGGGTTCTTCTTTTTCTCCTCTCTGGTTAACCACTTGATTTTTTCCAACTGCCATCACTGAAATCGTTTAACAAAATCAGCTTAAGCTTTAGCCACAGGCAGAAGCGTATCTAGCCTAGGCCAAAACTGCATCACACTGACAGGCAGGAGGAAACCCAGATCTGTCTTTTTCTAGTAGAATTCATTTTCTTCCGAATGTCCCTTCTTGTTCCAAACTTTGGTTGGAGCCACACAGTAATCCTGCTGATTGATCTTTGAGCAAACCCAAAGGTCAAGGAGAGAGTTAGGTTTGAAAAAAGACCAACCAGAAACATGGGAGGTTAAATGTAATTTTAAATTATTAGGAATTTAATACACTTTAATTCTCCAAGATGTGCTAGGCTTGGCAAACTGTGCCAGCCAGAAGGGTCGTGTTGTAGACTTACTGTGAGCTAAAGGGCTGCAGTTAATGTGCATGCTTTATGGAACCTGCCACTATTTGCCTATTGTTTGCACAGAAGAACAAAGCAGCTACTGTACTTCTATGATTAGCTAATTTTGGAATTGCTAGCTCCCAGTGTGTGTGAACATCAATCAGCCCTTCAAAATAATAAATCATGGATTTACAAATAATGAAATCTGTTTAATCTGTGGAAGTTTCATTATGTAGCAGTAATCGTGATTTGTTTTGGGTTGTTTTTTTTTTAAGATGAGTATCGTGGTAGTATCTTGGTAGAACATTTGTGCACTGGGAAGGAAGGAAAGCCTATTGATTTTGATGTACTAAAAAAGCTTAAGTACATTTTTTTTATTTAGATGAAAACAAATGAAAGATGTGGGGTAGGAACATCTGCCAGCAATCCAAGTTTTGTATGCCTTGGGTACAACATGTGTGGTTCTAGGATTTCAATTTCAATCTGTCTGACCAAGAAAAATCCCCCTTCTGCCAATGTGTTTCAGATGTGTTCCAGAGGTGTTTGTTTGTTTGTGGGCAAGTGTTTCAAATTTTGCAGCTCTGGATGAAGACCCTAAAGTTAAACCATTCCCTTAAGTAAAATCATCCCAGTGGTAGTGATTTTTGGAAATTAAAGATTCCCCATCCATCCCTCGGCCTCCAGTGGCTTCCCCCTGATGACGGGAATCTCAAGGTGGCCTTCAGCCTCTTGTTGATGGGGGCGGCGGCGGTGGGGATTTATCAGTAATTTTAATTTCTGAAAAATCACTGTGGCTGATTATGTTGTCAGATTTAATTCTCTGTGATTTCTGGCAACAGGATTTCAGCCACTGTGTGGAGAAGTGCCGTCTTTGTGTACCGCTGAATCTCCTGCTGCTTCTCAGTCTTTGGATAAATTATTCTGGTACTGTGAGAAAGGAAGGGAGAACTTTTTGCCTTTCTGTGCGTGTATGTGTGGAGAATGTGAGCATTTCATTTTACCTCCTATGTTCTCTGCAACTTAGATAGGTGGACTAAAGAGTTAATATTAAAATGTATATCAGGAAATACCATATGTTCCCATTTTATTTGTTTTTTCAACTGCTTATACCGTTGCTTCTCTATGTATGTTTATTAAACCACACTGGCGTGTCTACAATTTGAATATGTAATATAGTTCATTTTATGGGTATAATACATTCTAGCCAACATATACATGAATATGGGTTTTGCATATTTTTTCTCAAATACAGTAGAAAACTCATAGAGGGCACACTGTGAGATGTGCCAGTGAATGAAGGATCTTGTCTTCAGGTGATAACTGGGCAGTCTTCTTGGTGAGATTGTTCAGTAAGCTCCACTTTTAAACTGTGTGATCAGTGACGGGTTCTTCTAAATGGAGAACTTTATATTATCAGACAGGACTGTGCGGCTATTCCATTTCTCTCCTTAATTGTTTTTTTTTTTTTAAGAAAAAAGTGATGGGGAGTGGAGGGTTACAAAGTAGGAGATTACACATTTTTTTCAACTTTCGGTAAGACTTGATAGGGGCAGAGCACCTACATAATTAAAGACCTCTCTTGAAGCATCACGGTGGGATCATGTATGCCTGGACAGGCTCTTTACTAGCAGCAGGAAAAGATTTCTCTCTCCCATTGGCTCAACAGAATTTGCCAGGCAAGCAAAATCTCCAGACATAGGGATTCAGCAACCTGAACCTTCATACTAAACAATAAGGAGAAAGTTGAAGGGAGATACAGTAGTCAGGCATCCTGTAGGGATATTAGGAGAAAATGCCTGGTGGGTTGTGTGTGAGAGAGATGTAAAGAATCATATATTTTGGTATCTAAGATGCTAAGATGGAGCTAAAATGTTTTCTGTATGCCTTTTCAAACTTTCAGATGTTATCCTGACAGCTAAAGGGAAAAAAAACAGATGGCATGTGTTATTCTCTAACTCAGTGGTCCCCAACCTTTTTGACACTGCGGACCGGTTGGGGGTGGACGGGGTCCATGCGCGGTGGGGGGGGCAGGGCATGAAGGGCTGGTGCTTGCGCCCGGGGGCACATGTGTGAAGAGGCAGGTGCTGCTCTTGGTGCACACACACACTAGCTCACATGTGTGAAGGGGCGGGGGATGCTCATGGGGCATACACACACACTTGCACACATGCATGAAGGGGTGGTGGGTACTCGGAGGGTGCATGCGCGCACACTTGCACATGCACAGAGGGGCTATGCGGGGGACAGAAGTTCTGTCTCCACAGCCCGGTCCGGCCAAGGCCATGGACCAGCACCGGGCCGTGGACTGGGGGTTGGGGACGCCTGCTCTAACTGTATCATTGTGGTCCATGCAGCAACAATTGATAATATGTGCTACAGCAAAGGTGAGCAAAGTGCAGCTCTGCAAATGTTGCCACCAGCCCCATCCAGCACTGGTGAGGGAAGTTTGTAGTCCAACAACACCTGCAGGGCCAGATACTTCCTATCCCTGATCAACAGCATGTTCACAATGCATAATAGGACCCCACCCCAACTCCAAACTGTGTATCGTCCTTTCCAGCTTAGGAAGAAAATTGCCCTGTGATTATGACTAAAACAAGGGAGAGAGGAGCTGTGCAACTAGGAATGCCCACTTTTATCTTTGGCCCTAGTGAAGTCTGGATAAAATTGCACAGAATATAGTGATGATGAGTTTGGGGTTCTTGTTGGATTTTCTGAAACAGAAATCACAAGAAATCCTGTTTTGTTTTTTGTAACTATTGTACATTAAAATATGAGAGAAAAAGGAGCACAAACATTTTAAATATTGATCCGACAATCATGCATGATTTTTCAAGAACCACAAATATGGGAAAGTCTAACGCAAGTTGCCCTCATTAGTCTCAGTGGTTGTAACGGCATATTCTTTCCTTCCTTCCTCCTTACTACTACCCACTGAAGGCTGTCCTCTTTCATGTGCTCACCCAACTCCCTTGTCTTTAGGGCAAGCTGAAAGATGGCTGGCTACTTTCCCACAATAAACTTCAAGGACGTTTGTCAGCCATACACTGGCCTTGGCAAGCACATGCCTAACAATGCCACCAACACTGAGTATTCTCTTTTAACTGACTGTATCTTAACCCCAGTTTATGTTGCTTCACAGTACTCCAGTGAGCAGTCATATTTTGCAAAATGACGCTAGTCCTACATGCAGATATGTCTGCCCTTTACATTATGGACCATCTAAGACTGCCTGGAAAGAAAAGATCCAAACTGTTTGTCATCCATCTTTGCTCCAGGGGAGGTGGAGGGGCAGCAAAAGCTACTTTATGTGTTTTGAGTTGCCTAATGATCTATTCTGAACACTTCTAGACTTTCTCTCTCTGTGTGTACGTATTTTCTTACTAAATTTTGAACTCTGCATGTAGCGTTCTGAAAATCTCTGATGAAATGGAAAGTTGAACATAAATCAATGTCTGTGGCCGTGTTAGCTATGCATCAGCAGTTAGTAAGGGATGCACCATAACAAAGCACTTGCAAGTTTGTGTTCCTACACTGCCCCCTAATGCACTGAGACCTTGGAAGCCAACGGACAAAGGTGTTTCAGATTGCTTTTGCTTTGGGCTTCCAAATCTTTTCCGGTTAATAGCTGAAATAGTTTTACTAGGTTATAATCCTGTTGGTAAAGCAGAAACAGAATCATGGGACAGGGGAAGTGGAGAATAAAGACAGTATCACATAATGAATCCTGTATGTGTTCTGTGTAAAAACTGGCATTCAAGCAGACACATACAATTTTATATGATATATATATGCAAACGAAGGCTTCTTACTACATGTATACACACTGAATGGGGAAAATATGTGTCATGTCTGATTAATTTAGCACATTTACATAGCTGAAACGGATATTCACACCAGAAATCAATTCTCAGTATAATTTTCTCTTTGACTTCCATGTTATCTCTGATATGTCTAAAACTGTGCTTTACAAACCATATTTCATTCAAGTCTTCCAGTGGGGATAACTGGTTGGTTTTAGCTTAAGGATATGCCATGCAGTGAATAATTTGATTTGGTGACTATACAGACCTATGATTCTTCTCCCTTCACCTTTTGCAGCTCTTAGCATGTTGTACCTTTTCAGGCACAATTAACTCTATAATAAAAAAATCAAATGCCATCTTTCTTATTTAACAAATGATTTAGAGTTGTTGCATGACTTTAAGTGTAAAGGAGC